TACTTCCACACTGCACCTCCTCTGAGTCTCTGTATGCTCTTCTCTTTCCTTCTAGTTGTAGAATTTCCACTCAGCCAGCCTTCCTGTGATTCTGGATGATGTCCGTTTTGTGTTTTTGAAGTATTATTCAATTGTTGTGGGAGGCAGCAATTTCCCGGTGTTTATCTATGCCATCTTAGTTTCTCCTTCAAGCTTAATCTTAACACCGATACAATATTCTCTCAACTCACCAGCACAGCAGCCATTTGCAGAGGGGAAGATGATGAAAGTGATTGCTCCACTAACAAGGAGACAGGGAAATTTCCATGTGACATAAGCCAGACTCTGACAGCTATGGAGATTGGGGACTTAAAATAGCAGTTACAAGTTCAGTTACTATTGCACAGGCTTTGGGAAAGGCACATGGGAACACCCTTCTGTCAGTTCCCAGAGAAGTGGCTGCCAAATAAAGGCATCCCCAGAACTCCACCAAAAGGGCACAACTCTTGCCTGGCCAGCATGGCTCAGTGGTTGAGCATCAACCTATGAACCAGAAGGTCAGGGTTCGATTCCTGGTCAGGGCACATGCCCAGGTTGTGGGCTCAATCCCTAGTAGAGGGCACGCAGGAGGCAGTTGATCAATGATTCTCTTATTATTTATGTTTCTATCTCTCCCTTCCTCTCTGAAATCCGATGGATGTTTTTCTCATCAATGTTTCTATCTCTATCCTAATCCCCTCCTCATTCTCTAAAATCAATAAAACATCTTTTTAAAAACAGGGGTGCACAACTCTCAACCTGCCATTGATGGGCCTAGGGCACAGAGGAAGAGACTCAGAGCAAACTAGACTCTGTAGACAGGTTAGAGAATACTGGTAAGAAAATTTAGCAAAACGAAGGTCATTGGACATTGAAGAGTTTCGGTGAAGTGATACAAATTAAGGCCTGATGAGAGTGCATTCAAGAGAGACGGGGAGAGGCCCCAGCTGGTGTGGCTCAGTGGTTGAGCATCAACCCATGAACCAGGTCACAGTTCAATTCTGGTCAAGGCACATGCCTGGGTTGTGGACTCGATCCCCAGTAGGGGGCGTGCAGGAGGCAGCCAATCAATGATTCTCTTATCGTTGATGTTTCCTCCCTCTCCCTTCCTCTCTGAAATCAATAAAAAATAAAAAAGAGTGGGGGGGAGAGAGAGAGAGAGAGAGAGAGAGAGAGAGAAAGACTGGGAGAAAAGGAAGTCCAGACAGCAGAGAGAAATGGGGCAGTGGCTAGAGGGACATGCTTAGTCAAAGGGATGTTTATTCCTCTAAGTTTTGAACACAGATGTTTGGATATTAGGAATGAACCAGTAGGGGAAACTAATAATGCTGGAGAGGGGAGAGAGAGGGATATCCAGTCTTATATACGATAGCTTATCCACTATAAAGAAAATGCAGTGTATATGAATACAGAGGCAAGTGCATGGGTTCATTTAGTAGCACAAAGATGGAGAGATGATTAAGAGCATGGACTGTGGAGTCAGATGGCCTAGTTTCAAATCTAGGCTCCCTCACTTGTACAAGTTAATTAAAACTATGCACATTTCCCTATCTGTAAAATGTGGATAATATCTACTATAAATTTGCTGCAAGAATTAACTAGTGAAGCACTTTAGTTTGGCACACAGTAAACACTAATAGTCTATTAGTGTTTAATAGTAATAAGCAAATAGTCTATTATTTTTTCAAAATTAGCTATAATTTCGCTATAAGTACTATAAAATTATTTAAAAGCTAACTTGCCAAGGAGTCACTAAACTCCTCATACCAATCTTAAACTTAAGTTGGCAAAGGGTAAAAAAAAAAATCAAGTAAACTTACGGTAGCTGACCTTTCATTTTAAGTTCATACTATCAAGCTCCAAACTGACTTCAATTGAGGAATCTCTTTTTTTTTTTTAGGAATTTAAGCTCATTTTTAATACAACTATACAACTTAGAAACTGCAGAAAAACCATTATTTTTCTCAATAATAAAGCCTAATGTGACTAAAACATCCATATTATTAAAACAAATCAATTTATCACAGTTCATTGAAAGGCACCCTACTTCGTCTTTGGGTATTGCCTATTCTGAGAACAATGCATATGACACTTAAGTCACCAAAGATACCAACTGTGAATGTCCTTCACTTTTAAAGCTGATAGGAGGTAGTGGATGACCAACTATCTTCCAGTCTTGCCCACCCACCCCTAAGTAGTTACTAGTTTGCATCCCTGATGATCGTTTATGCTGCCCCCTTTGCCTGGAATTGTCTTGTTCACCATGCCCAGCCCCTTTCACCTGGCCCACCTCTCAGCTTTTAAAATTAAAGTCAAGTAGCAGCTTTACCCATACAGCCCCAAAGTGGAAACCCAGATTTCCATCAACTACTGAATAAACTGCTGATACACACAACATGGATAAATCACAGAAACGTGCTGAGTGAAGGAAACCTCTCACAAAAATACCTACTATATGATTCCATTTATATAAAGTTCTAGAAGAGCCAAATTTGATCTATGGTGGAAAACAACAGTTGCTGCCTCCATAGAAGGGATAGAAGCAGGGATTGATTGGTTAGTAGAAAGGAACTTTCTGTGTTAATGGTAATATTCAATATCTTTGATAGGGGTTTGAGTTAAACAGCTGTGCTTGTTAAAACTCAGCATACATATACTTATAGTTTGCATCTTTCATCATTTATCAATTTTATACCAAAAGAAATAAAAAAAGGCAAACAACTATCTCTGGGCTTCCTTAATACCCAGTAAAAATATTGAATTTACTCCATTTTATTAGTTTTGCATCTGTATCCTGGCCCCCATTGGAACTGTAAGCAATTCAATAACAAAGACTGTCTTATTGGTCTTTGCTCAGCAGTGAGCACAAGGCCAGGCACACAGTAGTCAAAAGGTTTGTTGACCTAAGTGATATGAACTTCATCACCTAGTTTCCTCATCACCAGAGGCCTTGCCTTGGGCTTTATTGCTTCATTTTCTTTTGATGAGCCATTATAGATCCCAGAATAATATATTTGACCTGGAATTCATCCATGTAAACCAAGCATGTCAAACTCACGGCTCACAATGAATATTTTTGTGGCCCAGCCAATATAACGGTATGTAAGAAACATTTTAAATAAAATTTTTGTAACTTAATTTTTACAATATCCTGTTATACATAATTATTAACAAACTACAACGTTCACTAATGACTACTATAATCGGGATGCATTCATTTCCCTTACGTGCCTTATGCGCAGGTGCACCATTTCTCTCCACTAACACTAGCAGCGAATATTTCAGCAACCAATTGCCATGTCATTAGTCTTGGACTGATTTGTTTGGTGTGCGCAACAGGAAATATTTCGCTTTCGGAGAACAAGAAAAATAGGTTTGTGTTACACTTATTAATTTGTGTAGTTATTCAGTGTCTGGTAAGTTAATGTTCAAGAAAAAATATTTTTATTAAAATGGTCTATTATTTTACCCAGAGGCCCGGTGCACAAATTCATGCACAGGTGGGGTCCAGCTGGCCTGCCCTGATGGGAGCCAGGCTGGCCAGGGGGAGAGACCAATGGGAGGTTGGGGGGGAGGGGGACTGACCGGCCCCAGATTGGGCCGGTATACATCACCCCGGTCACTTGGTTTTTTTTATATATAGATTCCTCATTTATTTCAGCCCTTCATATTCAGCATGTCTCTATTGAAATAAATCTATGCTTCTATGAAAATTGAAGCTTTTGTTTTCTTGCATAAACTTAAACCTTGTTTATTTGGCCTGTGTTAGCCTTTGAGTTTGTGACATGCTTGATGTAAACCTTTATATATTCCCTTGGTGGCAGAATATTGAAGACATCTCTTTTGGGTTTTCCCATTCTTCCCCTCTCAACTTTAGAAACTATTGATGGGTTCAGATTTAATTTATATTCTCTTTATAGAAACCAACTGGGTAGCATATTAAGCACAATGTTGATTCACACCACTCAAAGAAGGTCCATTTCCTCACCATGGCACAATGAATAATGTGCTATTTTACCTTTATGCAGCTATCTATGCTGTCCGTATGTATCAGTGTCAATGCTCTTGGGACTTAAATTGCAGCCATCACTTACTAGCCATATAACCTTGTCCAAGGTATTTTAACTTCGCTGTGCCTCATTGTTCTCACTGCCTCGTGATTTATTAAGAAAAAAGAGGAGGTAGATTGGGGGTTATAACATGTATTATCTATTATCATGATGCTAAATAAGTTACTGCATGGAAACTACTTAAAAGTGTCCAGCTTTGCTATCACTTAATATGTTCTATTCTGAATCCCCAATGACAGAAGACTGGTCTTATACTATGATCTACAAACTAGCCTAAATGACTAATGTGCCAGCGTTACACTACTTTTAATCAGTTTACAATGCAAATCAGAGTACAATGCAAATCCTGTTAACGCACTGAAGACTATAAGAGCTTTCAATAAGAGTTCAATTACCAAGTTCTTTTTTCAAATGTTGTCTTTACTCACCTCCATGCACAGCACAAGCTCCTTAACTAAGGGAGATTTAATTTAGACTCAAATACACATTCTCCAGCTCAGCACACCCTGATAGCAACTATTACAAGTTTATTACTATTTTCTGTCTTTCCTTATTTGTTTAGATCTGTGGGAGGGACCGTGTCTATCTTGTTTACTGTTAGATCTCTAACACATGCAGAGCACATTATAGGCACTCAAATGTATCCCAGATGAATGCAGCTATTTTAAAGTGTTTAACCCTTACCAGATAAAAATTAAAGTAATAATGGTCATCGTCTTCTGCTTTAAAGTAATAACCCAATTAGGGATTTAATCTCATTTTAAAATACATTATTTATGAAAAATGTAAAATGGCAATGTTTTCTATAAATTATTTCTACCCAAACATGTCAAAGGTATGCTAATAGATATACTTTCTAAACCACTTATAACCACCCTTCTCTTTCAATTACAAAAGATAAAACATACAACACACTGTAGGTTTATTTTTATTCAAAAAGTTACTGTCTCAAGACATAAATACAAATCAGAAAACAGTACAATTAGGACAATAGAATGTGGAGGACAACAGGTTAGAGTAATATATAAAACATTTTTAGCTGGTTGAAAACAAAGCTGTAAGAACTGCTTTCACAAAGAAGTACTTCTTTCAAGAATGAGAAAAAAAATCAACTTAGGTTTAAAATCATATATACAGTCCTCTCAGCAGTTCTAGTAAATGCAGTGGTGTGAAAAACAACATAGGCAATACTTTTGCACATAATATTATTCGTTGATGGAAAATCTGTTAGACAAGTCTGGTTTCATCTGTTATTCTCCATGATTTAATAAAATAATTGAACTTCTTTATGATCTTTTAGCTAACCTATGGTTTTTGGCTACCACAGCCCAATGCTTGTTGATTTCTGACTCTTAAGAACTGAAGCCTTTTGGTATTCACCCATCTGAAGATATTTTTGTATTGCAAGCATATTAAGGCATGGAATGATTAAAATAATATACCTCAAGAACTGAGAGACGACTGACAAAAGATAGATACACATGTAATATAAGTTAATATTTTGTTTTAAACGATGTCTAGCTGCCTAAGCCTCGCAAAATGAGTTGATGTCAAAATGCCAAGTGGCCACTTTCTGTTTTAAACTAATTTATTTGTGAAAGGACATAAAATGAAGTTTAAAGCTTAGCTTTCAAAGAATATTATGGGTTATGAATTCTATTATCCCATCTAATTTACATACAGAGGAAATGTACTGTAACCTGTTAGAAGTATCTTTAACCTGAAGACTGCTTGCAAAGACAGATAGATAAAACAATATAAAATACAAATTTAAAAATCATTTTAAAGCATGAACACTCATGCTTTTCTATTTTTAAACATTGTTAAACTTTCAATATATTTCTGAAACCTCATAATTTTAAGTTGGAATTTAAAAGTAAGAAAAAACTAAACAAACTGCGCAATTATAAAATCAGCACCAATTTATATATATATATAATTTTATTTAAAATTTAGATCCCTATTCCCACACTCTAATAAGCTGTATAATTTTTTGTTTAGAATTTTTCTGCAAACATACTACAATAAGCTTCTTTTATTTGGAGACAAAATACAGTGGCACTACTGGAAGGAATATCACAACATTACATTTTTATCTTAAAGGACAAGCAAACTTTCAGGGTTGATAATGGTATAAGCATGTTTGAGACTGGTTACCTTCTGGCAGTTCACTGCATCTGGATATTTCTGAAAAGTATAGAGAAGCTCTTGGATTTTAAAAATATCTTAAAATACATTTTAGATGAAAAAATTGTAAAAGTTCTGCTTATAAGTTTACTTTTCTCCACAATTACAATATTTAAAAGAAAGCTTTGTTGATTGATGTTTTAAGCATTTAAATTTAGAATGCTAAAAACAATTCTATCCTATAATTTCAGGGTAGAGAAATAAATCCATCCTTAACTTTATTTCTTGGATATAAACAGAAATCCAGCAGAGGTCATCATTGCTTAGTACACCCAGTAAATAAATGTGAGAGAATTCACGTCTGTACCAAATGTCTCTTCAGATTGTTATATTTTCTTTAAAAAAAAGCATGAAATAATCGATTCAAAGGCCAACTAACAGCGCATAAATAAAATATTTACTTTCTAAGAAAACTGTAGCTTATCATCAAATTGTTTACTTGTCCTTTACTTTTTTCAGGCAAACAAAACTGCCCCTCAATGCACTTGATCTTGGTAAGCGTAAGCATGTCATATTCTCCTTAGAGAAAAATCTGTACAGAATTTCACTGTATCTACCACACTTTATTTTAAAATTTCCTCTTCCACTTAGAAAATGACTTCACCAGAGATTTAACTGTGTACGGGTATTAAAACATTGACACCCCAAGAACCTAATGAGAGAGAGGGAAAAAAATCTCGTTAAGATTGTCATTCATTTCTTTGTAAAATATACCTATGAATTATTACAATACTAATTAACATTAATTTTAATCAATGCTAATAAAACTACTTTGAAAAATCCCCTTTAGATATGAAATTCTAAAATTAAAATGACCATCAATATATAATGGAATAACACACTTAATCGAGATGCTACTTACCTGAAAAATATAACTAGGAGCAGGAACTATGTCTCAATTATATGTTTATACATACCCGAATGCCTAGATCAGCCGTGGGCAAACTACGGCCCGCGGCTGGATCCGGCCCGTTTGAAATGAACTAAAAAAAAAAAAAAAAAAAAACCGTAACCTTTTGATGATGATGGGACAGAGGAGGGAGGGGACAATGGCTGATGGGACAGAGGAGGGAATGGACACTGAATAATGGGACAGAGAAAGGGAGGGTACAGAGGCGGATGGGACAGAGGATGATGGGACATAGGAAGGCGGGACAGAGGCTGATGGGACAGCGGAGGAGGAAGGGGATAGAGCAATGGTAGGCAAACTATTGGCTGCGGGCCGGATTCGGCCCCGTATAAATGAATAAAACTATTTAAAAAAAGACCGTTCCCTTTTATGTAATGATGTTTACTTTCAATTTATATTAGTTCACACAAACACTCAATCCATGCTTTTGTTCCGGCCCTCCGGTCCAGTTTAAGAACCCATTGTGGCCCTCGAGTCAAAAAGTTTGCCCACCCCTGGCCTAGATAGTGCCCTAAACATTGCACTCAACACTTGAATGAATAAACAAATGTGCTTCTTGACATATACTTCTGGCACAGGTTTGCTGAAAATAGCATAAGAATGTCTTGCAGACCAAATATATGCAAGAATAATACAAATACGTAGAAAGTAGGAAGTTTTTTTTAGAAAATCTGACCTGAGTGAAAGGACAGAACTACAACTTTTAAGAAATCAAGTAAGTAAGGTGAAATCTGGGCAACATACTTATATTGATGCCTTCTTTTTTGTACATTCCCAGTTTTCCTGGGAAAAGAACTGAGGTAAAATCTAATAATTACTTGTTACTAACTAAAGAAAAATAAAAGCAGATGAATGGAGCTACTCCCCCTTGTTCATTAAATAAGAACAAGATGTACCTTTGAGCTGTATATACTAAAAGCTAGGCTATTCAATTATAATTCCAGTGCGTACTATGATAATTAAGTAATACTTTTAAAATACTATAATAACCTAGTAAAAACTGATATTAAAAGGCAGAGGTAATGAGTTAAGACTGGGATTACAGAGGACTCTTACTTGTATATTAAATCTCACTTTAGCAAAAGTCACAGAATTCATGAATTGTTTTGATCTGTAGGAACTGTGTATTTTCAGACCAGGAAACCAGTATCTATCTGATTGCAGCCTCCCTGTAGTGAAAAGTTAAGTAAAGTGTTTGGAATCCCCAGTGATGAGAACAAAGAGGATTGATGCACCCCACTTCTTACCTGTCATCACCAAAACCACCACCACTACTACTCATCCTTTGTCCTCCCCTACCCTCCAACAAGGTTCAAGTTTCACCTTTTTTGATTAGAGTCAGAGTTTGGGTAGTTAGAGTATTTCCACCCAAGAGGCCTTGATGTTTACAGGTCCCTTCTAGCTATAACACTCATGACTCTGGGTAAAGGAAAATCCGATGATCATGAATCAAAGTATAAAATCTTATTAGCAATTCTTAGCAGGGTGTGTCATGAAAATGAACTCAAGTTCTTTCCAAACAGTGTCTAACTAGAAACCACCAGAACAGATTTTTTTTTTTTTTTGGGGGGGGTGCGCAAACTGGGTTATAAGTAGATTCTTGTAGTAGAACATTAACTGAGCTCCATGAAACTGAACCATTCTTTTACCAGTTTTATACTATAGATATTTGTAATAAGAGAATCTCAACACAGATGAGTAACATTAGTGACACATTCTCTTTTGTGCTGACCTAAACTACACCTGTTTCTGTGTTAAGACTAAAAAACACTTAAACATATATTTAAAAATATAAACAGCAAGCTTTGGTGTGTTGTGGCAATACTGGCCCACTGGTAGAAAAAAATCAACCAGTGGTACAATGGGATAAACCAATGTTTTTTCCAGATATAAAACTAACTAAATCATAAATCTATAATCTTATATTAGAACTGGGTATAAAAGAATTTAAGTTCCAATTTTACTATTGTTTTAATGACTCATTTATCACAGGCTTAAGTAAAAACAGATGTAGACTATTGTATAAAGGGCAAACAGATCTTTGCATTAAAATTTTTTCTATTATTTAATTTCTTATTATTGAGACAATATGGTATATATATGCATATATATATATATATATGGTCAAAGTCTACTAAAGATACATAAACCTTTAAAGACCGGGCACTCAGTTATGTGACTGCTGCCATCATGTGGAAATACTATAAAACTACAGGCATGGATGCATGTGTTCATTTTCCTATAAACTACTATCCCCTTAGTTATAACATATTCAATAAAAACAAGAATGCCAAAGTTTTCTATAAATAATTATCAGATTCCTATCTTTGGCCTCACTCAGACTATTTTTTTTCTAAATGTTAAATGACAAAAATATACAGACATAATTTACAATGCTATTTCATTATTTTAGTAATGTGAATTAAAGACACCTTTTTGCAAATCTAGTAACTAAGAAAACAAATGCCTAAAGTTTTCCTGACTTTAGATAAACACATGTAAAAATAAGGAAGTCTCTAACTGCCCGTATCAATTTTGACTGTATTTAATCATTTCAATTTCTAAATTACTTTTCTTGTTGTTTCTTCCAAAATGAGGTCTGATAATAGTTTTGGGAAATACAACAACAGAGACAGCACAATATTTTTTTAAATCAAATGGAACTCAGATTGAATTACTACCCTGACACTAAAGTTGTGTAACTGAGCAAATCACTGAATCACCTCTTCAGTCCAAGTTTGCTTGGGTGTAAAACTGGGATCCTACCACCTTTCTTACAAGGTTGCTGAGGATAAAAATAAATCATGCCTAGCATAGTGTCAGGCACATAAGCTCTCAAATACTAGCTCCTGCCCTTTTCATTTCAAAAGTGATAGTCAAGGTGGACTATAATATAAACGTGAGGGCAGGGAGACAATCTTATTCACTTTAGCATGAACTTCTAGCTTAATAAATTGTTGAACTAATGCATTTCATCATATCTGCTTGAAAAGACTCTTTTACTCATTACAATCACTACCTTCATGTTTTATTTAACGAGTTGGGAAGAAACATACTCCTAGATTATCAGGGAACTATATACTTTGATATGCCTTTAAAACTATAGACTTATGGGCAAGCCTAGGTCCCCTATGTTACTCAGTATGGTCTGCAGATCTGAAGCAATGACAACACTTGCTATAAATGCAGAATCTCAGGCCACACTCCCGACCTATTAAAACAGAATTTACATAAGACCTCCAGATAATTCACATACACATTAGAGGCTGAGAACACTAATTTAAAAAGGATCCCAGGTGGCTTGTCCAAAGATTTCTTTCTATACCTACTGCTCTATGAGACTGTCTTTTGGCTCAAATAACTGGTCATACTAATATAACATTAGTATGAATTAGTCAAAATTCTTCTAAGAGCTATTTGAAAGTATATTACGAGGTGAGTGAGGGCAAGGAGAGAATGGTAGAAATTGGGGCACAGAAGGCAGGCCTCAGAGGATGAGGTTACCTGAGGTAGTAGTGTTAGGAAGGAACATAAAGTGATATGAAAGGACACTTAATTGACTTATTTACTTGACAAATAAAACTAAACACCTAATATGCTAGCTAGGCAGAATTCAAAATGAATAAAATCATCACTGCCTGGAGTTCTGTCTATTGAGCATTATATCCTATTTCACTACACCAATTTGGTAATTGTAAAAGTGTATATACAATGTGTTATAGAAGCTGAGAAAAAGTACCTATCTGAAGAAGATGGCAAAACTCCTTAGGTAATGTCAGAACTGACTACTAAAGAAGAAATTCACTAGAAGGGGGGGGGGGGCAATTCTGACCCAGAAAAACTTATACAAAGTCAGAGTCATGAAAGAGCAAAATGTGTATGAGAGGAAGATTTGGTATAGCTGGAGCACAGAATACATGTAAGGAAAGGGCCAAGGTTAAGCTGGCAATGGAGCCAGATCACAAAAAGCTTTGTTTGCCAGGCTAAGAAGCCAGAATATTTTTCTTAATATCAATGGGGGAGAGGGCAGAGAATCAATGAAAGACCTAAAACTATATGTGAGAGAAGAATCCGATTTGCATTTTGGAAAGATGACCCCAAAAGAGAGATAAAGGAAGGGTGTAGCAGCAAGATCAATTTAAAGACTACTGCAATGGTCCAAGTGAAAATTAAGAAGGACTTGTATGAGCCAAGGCACTGTCAGGGAAAATATGGTGGGGACTGATATAAGAGGTACTTAAAAAATAGAATTGACAATACTTAACAATAACCAATTATCTCAATACCCCCCCACCCTTCACTTTATTATCAGTCTATAAGTTCTATTTTTCACCATGCCTTCAGATGATGATGATTATTCCTCTCATTTATCCTATTCATCCATAAATGCCAAGGAAATCTTTCTGAAACACAATTCTGATGCCACTCCTTCATTCAAAATCCTTCAATGGCAACTCTAGCCTAAAGAAAATTCCAAATTCCTTAACGCAAGTCCCATTTGGCCAGGGATTCAAAGGCACTTAAATCTGTCCCCACTATTGCACCACCCTGCTCTGGAAATCACTCCTGCCTGCCTCTTTTCTCCTGTTCCAATTGTTTTTATCCATTCTTGATGTGCTGTCTCAGCTCTCCATCCTCAAACTTAGGGCTGCCTATACTTTTGATTTTGCAATCCTGCAGTACATTTAAATGAAACCTACTGATTCATCCATAATTGAAGCTGGATCAAAGAAATCAGGCTTCAGTTCTGTTCTCTCTCGTCTGTTCTTTGATGGTGGCTAAAGGGGAAAAAAGGAAGAAAGTTGACAATTGTCTTATCTATAATCCAGAAAATATTGAAATTAATTAGCATTAAATGTTCACATGGAACATGTAGTTGCAATTGTACCTTACAATAATTTAAATACTATATAAACAAAGTAAAAAATGTTTAAATAAAAACAAAAGAAACTCATTCATGGAAAATTATCCTAAAAAAAGAAAACTGGAAAACTCATTTTTTGTTTTACTTTAAAAATTCCCCTTGAATCATTTTCCTTTAAAGGGACCAGATTACACTACTCTAAAGAGAGACCATTTAATTATTTCTTCCTGTTGCCCAGTCGGTGTGGCTCAGTGGTTGAACCCAGGAGGCGATGGTTCCATTCCAGGTCAGGGCACATGCCCAGGTTGTAGGTTCGATCCCCAGTAGGGAGTGTGCAGGAGGCAGCCAATTGATGATGTTTCTCTCTATCCATCCTTCTCCCCTTTCCTCTCTTTCTAAAATCACTAAAAACTTTTTTTTTTTTATCTTCCTGTTAAGGAGATTTCATCGTGGTATACCGGGAAGTAGAATCAGAAGACCTGGCTTATAAGTCTCAGATTTACTGATTACTAGTTTTGTCTCCTTGGATAGGCTAATTGTCTAAGCTTCAGTATCTTCAATCCTTTCAATCTCCCTCACAAAATTGAATGAGACATGTGGCAAAATGATGTAGAAGCATTTTGTATACGACAAAGGCCTAATCATAAATATGATGTAATTAATGAAGAGTATACTCTTATATATACTTTAACTTCGAAGTTTAAGCAATTTCATTATCTAATATGAAAATTCATCTCAGTAACTGGGTAGTAGCAAGTAAATAATGTAGTTGTGTGTGTGTGTTTTTTAATCCACGCCCAAGGACATTTTTCCATTGATTTTTAAAGAGTGTGGAAAAGAGAGGGAGAGACAGAGAAATATCGATGAGAGAAACACATCGATTGGTTGCTTCCTGCATGAGCCTCAACCAGGGTCCGGGCCCAGGAGGCGCCTGCAACCCAGGTATGTGCCCTGGACCAGAATAGAACCTGGGCCCCTGGGTCCCCAGGCCAATGCTCTATCCACTGAACCAAACCGGCTAGGGCTATAGTTGTACTTTATATATTTTTAATTCCAGATAGGAAGAGAGAGAGAGAGAGAGAGAGAAAGCGAGCGAGAGAGAGAGAGAGAGAGAGCAGAGAGGAAGGGAGAGGGGGAGAGAGAATCATCAGTGATGAGAAAGAATCATTGATCGGCTGCCTCCTGCATGCCCCACACTTGGGATTGAGCCCGCAACTTGGGCACGTGCCCCCACGAGGAATCAAACCATGATCTCCTGGTTCATAGGTCGATGCTCAACCACTCAATCACACCAGCTGGGCAATAATATAATTTTAATGGTGGTAAATAAATGGAAAATTATAAGGTGATGTGATACTTAACATAATAAATTAAATATATTCCTTAAATCAATCTATTCCTAAATTAACCTGAAAATTAATCATCTTAAACTAAGATCTAATACCCTGACCAATCTCACCCTCCCCTCAACCCCTTCTCATATACCTGAAGACTTAACTATTTTAT